ATTTATGACAATGCAAGAGAATGCAAACTACGATTACATTAACTCGCGCGATACACTAAGTGGACAGACGTAATGGATTAGGTTACATGGCTTGCTTGAACACTGCATAAATTGATATCTAGTGTTCCACGTTAATGTACGGTATATATTACAGTAATATATACAATACAACACTATCACAGTATTGTGAAAATAACCCTGCGTACATTTACATTGTTCATATGGAGCGTAAATTGCTCATGTAAACCTCACAGTTTTAATGTAGTTGCTAAATATTAAATCTTCATTTTGACTATAAGATTTAGTAAAATGTACCAAGCTTGGCTTTGTGGTGAACTGAACAGCTCAGAACAATTTATTGCAAGAGCCAACAACTTCTCGCACTCAAAACCATATGTTTATTGTAATTTTTATGCCACTCTTTGTTCTTAGACCTGCATCCTAGATTATACCAAATCCACTAGCAAGTTAAGGCACCGTAAGGACAATAAGCTGTAACAAGTGGTAAAGAACGTTTGCTGGGATAGTTCCGTTTGCAATTCCTTGTCCGTGCAGAAATGCGTGAGTAACTCACGTGTCATCCACTCTGCTGGACGTGGAATATTGGCCGCGCTTGATTTTATGGATACTAAAGGTATTTTATTGTTCTTTTGTGATTAAGTTCTCCAAAGAATGAAGTGTCATGATTATAGAATAGATAGCGAAACGCAGTGAAATTATTCACTTATCCTTCAGAAAAACAATTTGGTGGATGAGTGACGAACTTGCGCATCGCAGGGTTCCATCTCTCTATGATCAGAACAAAGCCTTTGTATTATACTTTGTGCTTTTATATATACCAAAGTTTCTACAATCTTAGACTTTACACGTAATGACGTAGCAGTCAAATTTCAGAAGAAATGCTGGCAACTGTCTTATGATAAGAATAGGCAGATATTCCAATCATTACAAACCATGTGTAAAAAGCACGGAACTCATGATTCTAAGGAGGTACTTTACAGTAAAGAGTGCATTGCGTGCTCTGATATCATCGCTGAAGCTTGACATATTCAATTACGGCTTCATTGCTCTTTTATCGAAAAAAGCTGCTCATTATATCATTATCGTTGTACATTGTGCCTCCTAGTGATCCCTTGGCCGACACATCTGAAGAAATGCTTTAGATGACAACTTGAGTTAGAAGTACAAACAGTTGTAATAGGCGCGTCTGTTCTGTAATATGCAATTTCTTTAACAAAGAACTCTACATTACTTGTCATTGATTGACAACTTAGATACCTATATCGAGAGCTTGCATGAGCCCATGCTTTTTCACACTCGGCTTATCTTGGCCAGCCCTCTGGTTGTTGTCTGTAGCGATGGGACAGTCGCCAGCACATCTTGAGATTCAAAGCGACACCGACATATCAACTTTTACATTTCAGCTCATGAAGATAACTTAGCTATAGCATACAGATAAATTTACGCTTTGACTCAACCTCATGATGCTACAACGTACACACAACAATGGAAGGGATACACACCTATGTCGCTTAAATTATTGACCTCACTTTTCATTTTGTATCCGCTTCCTCATTCACGATATCGACTTCCTACCACCCAGTTGCCAGCTAGTAAAACAAGTACCTTCAATGTGCAAGTTTGTTCTTCTCCTCGTGATTATCGTCAACGGCGTCCTCTCGGTACCTTCCTTCGCAGAAGAGTGGGAGTCCGAGCCAAGGGTTTTTGCGCAGAGAGACAGCAATACAAATCGTATGCTCCAAGCAGACGAACACGTTCATGCTTTATACGAAGATCGAAGGCTGACGGTTAGTTTTAAACCCGAGCCAGTAAATTTGTCGACATTGGGGGAAAAATCACCTAGTTATTTGTCTCGAATTGCGAATTGGTTTAAAAACCTGAAAACGACTACCAGATTAGCATGGACATTATTCAGAACTGGTTTTCACAATCCAGATCAGGCACTTTTGATGGGATATACTCCTGGATACTATATCTCCGTCTGGCGCAAGTTTGATCCTACATTCACGTACCTGAAAAACCCCGACCCTGGCGGTGATATGTATCAAAAATTATTACGTTTTGGCGAATACTACGATGATCTTCAACATCATCAAGGCTCAATCAAAGACTTAGCTGAAAAACTGAGTAACGTGGAAAAACAAATGAAAGATATGTCTTGGATCAGTCGCATTCGCGCTCGCATTGCAATGTGGAAAACAAGGCGCCTCCTCAATAAAGGTGTTCCTGAAGAAAAGTTGCTCGAGAAAGGCGTTTCGCCTTACTTGTACTTTAGGTGGCTGAAGGAAAAACAGGGCAGTATACCTACGCTTCAAGACGGCTTTGTCAACTGGTTTGCAACTAAAGACGCCATGGCATGGTTGAAATATCAGCGTTTGTATGATAAGAAGTTTCCTTATCCGAGAAAGGGTATCGATTATGCAAAAATACCTTAATTCTAAATCATTAATTTCGTTGAGTATTTTTGAATACGATCATGATACGATTCTTCCACATTCATTCTTCTC